TGTATATTAGTAACCTCGGTATGTTCTCATCTCGCGAAGCGCGAGGAGGACTTTGGGAAGTTGGTCAATCATCAATTCACTATGACTTCATGATGAATTCTTTGATATACCAATATACGCCGACTTGACCTATGGAATGCGAAGACATTACCCCTCGTGCCGTGTCATGTGACGTTACGCCTCTCTCTCCGCTCCCCAAGACTCCTTTCACACATTACGGACCTCCATGAGGATTCTAAAGGTAGGATACGGAGGTGCTCTTGAGCCCGACTAAGTGACTGTTTCAAGTTCGCGACACGCGGGTCGATTAGGCCTCATTAGATGAAGTGAGCCTGGCTAACGCATATTGAAACATATTAAAGGGATGACCACAGTGGTTGAGGGAAGCATTCAACGCCAACTGATGAGCTCTCAACTGAGTGAAGATTATCATCTTGATGATCACCATCTACTAGAAGCTCAGTCGGCGGCTCGCCTTTAGGAAAGTACTTGGCTTACGTGGCTACAGGTAGGTAGCTAAGGCTTGTCCGAAGTTACGCCCCCATCGGACTTCCGGGCATAGTAGTGTTGGCGAGAAGCGAGAAGCGAGACATCAAATACCTTCGTTGGAATACTTTGTTTATATTCAAGAGGCCCGAATGGTAAGTGGCAAGATCAAGGGACCTGAACATTGTCCAGAATGAGAAATATTGATTCCCGAGGAGTTGTCTTGTTCGTAACTTTGTTTAGAGTGATGACACATTCGACCAAGCCTAACGCTCCTATGAAGCGCTTGGCAACTGAAAGATAGGTGTCGTTGAAGGTGAATATGGGAGGGAAACACTCGTCAAAACATACCGAATACGAAATGGCTTCATTTTTCAGCTGATAGAAGAATCCTCAACTTGAGTTGTAATATGACCTTATAGGTACGCACTTCCAAGCTCATTCAAGTTATCATCATGCACACTTACGGCCGAATGAAAGGGTTGGCTTAATGCTCCTTTATTATTGGAGGAACTGGACTGAAGCGCCACAAACGGTATGAAGCCACAAAGGAAGAGAGGGTGGAAGAGGGGAAGTTCGTGATCGCGAAAGAGTTAAACCCGGCCGACACGATCGCATAATAATTCCCCCGTATTCAAAGGATCCCGAATCGTTTCTAACAGAACCACATGGCTCGCGATATTCCTTTTGCCGGATTACCGGGGCGAGAGAGGAATAGCTCGGGTCCGAATAAGGAGGCAACGAATTGCGACTATTGGTAAGGCAGCAAACAATCCTATTGATACAATACCACATCATGCTCGAACGATTTTGGCAAAATCTAGGCACAGAAGAATAGAAGGAGGAGTTACCTTACCTACCTATGCAAAGAACTAATGTATGATTGGCGGAAAGGAATAGCATATTAGTCATTATTATCCATCTTCGTCCGCCGCCGCCACAGGCCATCCCTTCTTAGTCCTCTTCCTATAAAACTCACGATGATGATGATGATTATGATGATGAATTGAGATCGGTTTAAGCTCATAGCCGCATTGGACTTTTGTCTTGGTAACCAATACTCATTAGGTAAAGATCCGAATCCGAATTGCTACCCCTCTATCATCCTTGTCCTTGTCCTTGTTTCTCCATACATTAGATGATGGGAGACAGGGATCGAGGTGTGTATACCAAGTATACTAGGGGTTAGTTCCCAAGAGACTACACGGCTACATTAATAAATAAATAGCATACCCACTTGTAATACGTGTATGTAGTATGCGCATAGAACCCACGTTATTTACTGAATTGGAAACAGCTTCTACGAAGGTTGCCATATTCACGTTTCAAAGTGATGTATCAAGTTTATCCGTTGCCATTCACGAAAAAAAGTATACCCGATGTTGTCGATCCTTAGTAATAAAACAAGAGAAACAGACCTCACGATACGTGTCGAAAACCCCCCTCCCTCTATCACTTTACATGATATCTATCATGCTACATTTATGTATGACATCTCACAGCTCGTGGGGGTTAACATACCTAAGGTATTGTACACAGTACTGTTCATATCAGAGTAGTATCCGCTCTCTCTCCCCGACTGATCTAAGCACTAGGAAGATAGTCTAATCCGAACTCCAGCATTCCGGGGTCTAAGATGCTTCTGCTTACATGCTTATTTCCCCGAGTAATGAACGAGGGCCAGAATATTCGAAACTCTATAATATAACTTAATTAGGAGTTAATAAGCCAAAATATTCATATGTGACTCCAACGATAGCACGCCTCTTAACCCATGCTGAAGTAGCGAATGCATTGAAGAACACATATGTAAAATGTAACCGATGTCCTCGACCTGGCTACGAGGGGTAGGGCTAAACTCTTCCGAGCTGTTACCGATCTGTAACGAGACTTGGCTGCATATTATTAACCCAAGACATGTAACCCGTCACGGATGTAACTTAAGATATCGGAACCAACTACCGGCATCGATATACGCTATTTCATCAGACACGATATACGCTAATTGTCGGTGATAGTCTGACACACACACACACACACACACACATACATACCTATATACAAGGACGCTACAGAAGGCCTAAGCACAGCGGGGAAGAGCCCCCGCGACATGTTTTCCGCATAAGGGGGCTGAGGTCAGCTCACCCCTCGACCATACGGGCAATAACGAAGAAAAGCTAACGGCGGAGATAACGACGCTACAAACGGCGCTACAAACGAACATTGAGAGAGAGAGATGGTTCGATAGGCTGGGTAGATGCTGACCACAGGTGCATATCTGACCTGTATGTGTATGTGTATATGTACATATACCATATCTACCTAATGACATGTATACCCACGCTACAGGCGGTAACCAGCAGCGCTAGCATCGTCGGTCGTGCCGGCGACCCGGGAGGCTACCGTGAGCGAAAGGGGGTGTCAGCCGTCCGGTTCGATTCCGAGCCGTAGACTTTTCCACCTACACACCTACACACCCACGCACCCACACACACACGTAAGTAGGTACATAGTAGCCAAGCAGCTAATGGGTTAGTTAATCTATCTGTCTAGGCACGAGAACGGGTACGCGCCTACAATACGAGATATACGGAATACGTAGGCGGTGGGCGGTGGGCGGTGGGCGCACCAACACCCAAGACGGGCAATTGTGGCTTGGCCCGCCGTTGATTAACGCGCAGCTGCCGTATCCCCCTTCTCGAATCATATCCGCAGCGCGCTTCGGAAAAGCGTGTCTCGTGGCGTCCGCCCATATCGCCAGCTGGTCTTAGCTTCGGCGCAATTAGGCGAGACACCTGCCCTTGCCCTTGCCCTCTCCCCTAGTATCTATCTCGCCGGCGCCATGCAGACGCGAGAATTTGACGGGAGATTAGCTATGGCAGATAGATTAATTAGGTAGATATTGATATTACATCGAACTATGGGGATGAGGGGATGAAGGAGGGGGGTGGGAGATTGGGGGCGGGGAGTCGCGGAGATATTGGAGAAGGACTCCCACATAGGAAGCGAAGCCGAAGTAAAGCAAAGTACCTAACAGACAAGACAGGACAGGACAGGACAGTAACGCTATGCCGCATGCCCGCAGTGCACCGTAGAAGTAAGATTGATTAATGATCGATTGAAGGCTGACGCCGTGTTCGCGTCGATAAGTTAAGATCGACTTCGCCCACCGTAGTCAAGGTGTAGTAGCATCTTGGTAGCTTAATAATACCCCTTCCCGGGTTTATCTAGGTTATACTAGACTCTCATATACCTCATACGAGACAATACTTTTGCTTTAAGCTAAGATGTGCATCAGCAGAAGAGGAACTGAAAAAAAAAGCATGAACTATGAAAAAAGAAAATATAAAAAGTCCAAAGATGGAAATGAAGATTTGTAAGATGAGTAATAGGTTAAGGTAATATGGTATGGAAGTAATGTAATAATGCTATACATGTAAATACTAATAATAATGTACCTAATGTTAGGCATATATGTATGTCTGTATGTATGTATATATGTATAATGCTGAAATAAAGTAATGACAAGCTTATAATAGTTAATAATAAAAAAAGAAAAATTCCCGCACTTAAAGCTCAGGCTAACCGTGAATTGACATGCTTGCTCCCATGCACGCGTACGCAGTAAGAAGTAAGATAAGAAGATGATGAGGTCGAGAAGTTGAGGGAAGGCGAATAGGTAGAAGAAGAAAAAAAAACCGGCTGTCTATTCCAAGTTCAACCAAGCAAGTAGACAAGGCAAGGCAAGCAAGCAACCGCATATCCATACCGTACGCGCCGCGAAAAAAAAACCATTCCGCTTCCTGACCAGGGGCGAATATACACAGATAGATAGACAGGCAAGATAACTAGCCCCCTTTACCACCACCACCACCCCTGTATCTGACATGTTATCCTAAACCTAGTCCCAACCACCGTAAGCAATCGCCATTGTCTGCTCTGTCTGCCTCTGCTTGTCAGTCTGTCTTGACTGATCGTCCCACTTCCGCCCGCCAACCCCCCTAAGTAGTCAAGCAAGAGATCCGATCCCCCTTCCCAAACGCCTAGGATGCCTGTCTGTCTGTCTTTCTTCCCTCCCTTTACTTCAACGTCACTGCCGCGACGCGAGGCCGGTAAGCATCATGATCATCATCTTAGCCCACTCTTTCCCACGCCCTATATTCCTAACCTTTCCTATCCTGTCCTGTCCTGTCCTGTCCTGTCCTCGTGGGTATATATGCCAGCGCCGATGTACCCAGTTTGCGCTATGCCCTTTTATCTCCGATTTGATCCCATGTTTCCCCCCCTGCCTATCCTGTCCCGTGCCGCCACCGCTGTTGCCCCCTCCATGATGTAATGTGTAGATATATCTGTGTGTTATGTATCGCGTAGTGTAACAGCTCATTGTAAGATATTGTAATCGTAATTGTAATTAGAAAAATAAAAAGAAGAAGAAAAAAAAGAAGCCGGTATATCGTAGAGCAATATTGTGAAGAGATAAACTGACACGGCTAGCTGAGCCTAGCCTAGCTGTGTTAACATAAACTCGTAGCAGACGCCTGCACTGTAGCACCCGCGCCGTGAAGCCCGTCCGCTTGCCAGTTCCCGCTCAGCGCCACGAGTTTCCGCCTAACCCCGTCGGTAAACCGGGAGCTGCCGTCCTCGAGGGTCTTGACCGCGTACTCGAGCACGTCGCCCGGCTTCTCGAGGCTGGCCCTGGTGCCGTCGCGCTGGTGCGTTAGCACCGGCACGCCCTCGCCGTTCCACAGGTAAGTGATGACGGCGGGGTCCTCGGGCGTCACCTGGTCGATGGGGACCGGAGGCCCGGACTCGTCGCGCTTCTGGAAGTTGGGGTCGAGCCGCGAGACGCTATCCGTCCAGAGGATCAGCGTGGCGCGGTAGACACCCGCGCTCCACCAGCTGGGCCGCCGGTCCCGCGGCATCGACCGTCGTAGCAGCCGGAACACCTGGCCGCAGTGGAAGATGGCCTCCTCGCGCTGGGATATGCAGCGCTTGTGGCGCAGGGACAGTTCCCAGTAGGAGCCGTCGAATCCCTCGCGCCGAGCCAGCCTCTCTATTTCCGGGAAATTGGTAATCGCGTTGAGGGAGATTAGGTGGTAGAGCACCAGATTAGTCTTGCTGGTCGCACATGTCGGGTTCGCCTTGTAGTAGGTGATAGTCAGCTCGTACCACTTCTGCAGCAGGACCTGGATCTCGTCGCGGCGGGATTCGAAGGATGATTTTATGCCAGTCCTATTACCTATACGCCGTGTACCCATGACATCCGAGAAGCATGACAGCATCTGTGATGTGGTATAGGCAGGACTGGAGGGGATGTAGTAAAAGCCGCAGTTGATGTGGCGTCAGACTGCCCTGTCTCCTTGACAGATTATCGTTTAGGAGATCCTGAAACAGATCGTAGAGTGAGGGGGTGAGCGAAGGGGGTGTGGTGAGAAGCTGGGGATTAACGTTTGCAGTGCAGCCGTAGATGGATTGTACGGCAGCGACCCATTGGTCAGCGTTGGCCGACATCCATAGTAGCTCGGGACCAGGTAAGGGGGCGCAGAGCTCGCTGGTTGACAGCATTGGTGCCGTATCATGGAACAAGCTAAGTTCTTGGTCCACCATGACAAAATTATACACCAGCCTATTGAAAGAGATCAGCGTACTGCATAAGACTATTGGTTGAAATACGGATGCGGTGGCGTTAAGTAACATACCTATTTTGGGATTCTCGGTGTAGCCATGAACGCCATTGGAGCTCAGCATTGGTGGAGCTACTGAACGTGGGAATCATGGATGGCTGAGATTCAAACATTCCGGCGTGCTTTAGCATCTGCATGATATTTCGGTTAGAGACATGAAAGCTGGGTAAGACGGGAGGTTGCATTATTGGATGCTCACCGAGAGATACATCCCGCGTTGACCCATGGCTATGTCCATAAGCCACTTATCTCCGCTCCAGGCTCCGAGGAGCATGAAGAGTAAGGCGCATCGAAGAGCGGTAGGGTCGGCGCACATCTCGATGTCCTTCTCGATGATATCGAAAAGCGAGATGCGGCAAGTCTCGATCAGACCAGCTGAGAGAGCCCTTGCTTCCGCCGTAGGGACGGCATTGGCACCTTGCGCGATCATGAGCAGAACTAGAAGCGCTGCTGCCTGGTTATTCTGGAGCATCTCATTGGGATCTACGCAGCCGGCCGAGACTAGCGAGTAGAAGAAAGATAGATTTCGAACGTATGAGCGGAGAAAATATTCTAATATTTTCGAAGGCGGGAGAACTAAGAAGCTCATTAATCTTGAACTTGTATAGCTCTTGACTGGGTGATTAACCCCCCCGCGATGAATTTCAAGGGCCTTGTGGAGGAACGTCTGCGTTATTGCGAGCATGTTATCACGAGTGCGAGATGTCATGGGGATGACCGAAGCCATGTCGGTTGCATCCCAGTCGACTTTCTCTAGATATTGCTCCAGGGCACTCCAGGTGCCTTCTTGTCGTGACTTTTGTTCCAAGCATTCTAAGTGGACGATAGCTGTTCTCGGACACGTATTGAGTATATGGGTGGATTACACCGAGCCAGGGGCCAAGCGGCCTCAGCTGCGATGACAACTTCGAATTCGGGGTATCATCGTATCGGTGGGGTATTTAAGGTCATATCAACAGATTTAATAGCCGACTCGAAATCCCCGGTAGACATTATGCTAGTGCTTCTAGTGTGTATAGAGCCTCTAGAGGAGCTCATATGTTCTGAATTAGATGAAATATCGCTAAGTTCGTTGAAAGTGGGCATTGGGACGTCGGCTTGAGTGAGAGGCATATGATTGGTATACATGTCGAGGTCTAAGGGATATTCAGACCAAACTAGCATGTCTTGATAATTCGGTTCTTGTGGTATAAATCGTTGCCCAAGTGAAGGAAGTCATCAAGACCCTCTACCCTCGGGTGAGGAGATGGGAAATCGTCAGAGCTCATTTGAGAGTTCGCCGGGGAGTTTTTCTTGGCGGGGCTCTCGTGTTGTTGTATTCGCGGGTCGATTGTCATAGCGTTACAGCTGTTTTCAGGAGACATGGAAGTTTTTATTGGCGGATCCGGCTTGACTACACTTTGGTCTATATCCATGAAAGCAGGGTTAACTGTCGTGGCTGGTGTTGTTGGTGAAGGTTGCGGCGGTATTGTGATCTGGTTTTGAGTACTGCTCATAGCAGCTGTTGCTTGAGCTGCCCTCAAGGCGGCTTTCGAAGAACGTCGCGCAAATCTCGCTTGACATTCGAGATTCTTGTCAGCGCACCTTGCACATGGAACTCTCTTGTCGCAACCCGTCTTAGCTTGTGCACAGTTAAGGCAAGCTATAGGTGTTCGTCCAGCTACCGTAGGAACACCACCCGGGAGAGGTTCCATAGGATCTCGGGCCTCATGATATGTAGAGTGATGCCTTTGTAATAAGTCCCTATTAGTGGATAAGTATATAGTTGAATATGTAGACGCAGGGTCAAAGAGCAAACCTTCGGGCGAAGGACAGTTGACACGCACTGCATCTGTGCGGTTTTACGTTTGTGTCTATGGCACCGGGAGTCAGTTTCACTAGTCTCTAGAGCAAATGAGCATCACTCACGACTTGGAATATGTCTCTCTAGGTGCTCCTTGCGCGTAAAGCTTTTTCCGCAGTATGCACAAAACACCATCGTGGTAGTTCAGGTCAGGTGAGATCAAGATAGATATCTTGGTCTAGTCTCGCTCACATCAAGGATGTGTGAACAGCCCGCAAGACACTCAGAGACTTATAAATTTCTACCCAAGAAAGAAGTAATGGTAGGTAAAAGTGAAAAAAATAAAATAAAAACAAAAACACAGGAAAGCTCGTCTATACAAGAGGAGGGAGGATACAAAAAGGCCAGACACTAAGTATCAAGGTAAAGGGGGATGCAGGGGAAGGGAAAGGTCAGGTTGGATATGTTAGAAGAATAAATGAATTCTAACGATATGTACCGTACGCAGTCAAACAATACATGTACGCAGAAATTACATCGAATGTGTATGAATCAGACTTATCCGGATCATGGCTTTCTAAATATGAGAGCGAGAGAGAAAAGGTTATCCATCTCGGGTCTATCAGCAAGACACAAGGGTACAAGAAGCTTACCCATGTAATAATGGGGGGAGTAGAGGGTACAAAGTGTGAATATAAGTGTATAAGTGTATGTGTATGTGGACCAGTGGATCACCAGTGGACCAGGCGATGGCAGCTCTGTAATCTTCCTGGTCTTCCTAGTCTTCCTAGCACCAATCCCTACCACCCGGGAAGGAGATTGGATGTACAAAGGGAAGGGCAAGTATCTTAGACACGGGAGTTGTGGCACACAATTAAATGCCCGGCCTAGCCTAGACATTTTCAGCCGCCATCAAATACTTATATCCAGGTACAGCTCGAAAAAAAAGCTATGACCCCTGTCCCTGAGATGGCGGGGGGCAATATAACGATGATGTGCGCGAGTATAAGAAACAAGACATCGTCCTGGGAGATAGCAGAGACAGCAAACGAATCTTGCGGTGTTGACTAACACGTAGTCAGAGCGAGAGCGAAAGGAAAAAAGATAATTTTCCCAAGCTAATGCGAGTCTCTAAGTTTACATTAGCTTATTGGGAGCGCTGTAACCCGATCTCTCTCTCTCTCTCTCTCTTTCCCAAGGAGACGGACACCACCAAGACCCGGTAGCAATAGAAAGTAGACGTTAAGGTCCTGCGGCACTAGCCAAAGCTTCCACCAAATCCACATAATCGTTCCTATGTGTCTATACACGTTAGGAATACGTTAGGCATACCTTATACAGGTATAAGCGGCAATAGTAGCAAGAGCGTGAGACAGATATGGCATTATCTTCAACGTAAGGAGCCAGCTCGAAAGGGACATCAAGGTCGACAAGGATTCGAATTAGCCATGACCATAGTCTTTCGCATCGCTGTTTGGTACCTACGCTCTCAGGTGGTTCTAGATGCCTATTCGAGGGGAGTTACTCGAAGTCGGGCACTTTTTTTTTTGACAGGCGGTTGGGTGAAGGGGTATGATGGCGCTAGGGGGGGTCATTTACCTGGGCTGTCATCCAAAGGTTGGCGCATGAAAATGTAAGCGAGAGAAGGATACAACAAAAACAAAACCCACCCCTATGATCACCTATGATCATTCGCCTATAGCAGTTCGCCCTACTCGCGCGATTGCGATTACAAGTAGTTGAGGGACCGTTCCAGGCTTGGTGGATTCGGGAAAGCTGTGTTGTGTGTAGTGGTCGAGCTGGGAGTATGTAAGATCCAACCTCGTGGTTGCATACAGGGTTCCTAGTACCGAGACGTGCATCAAAGATCTGCGAGTCCAAGGGCCGAAGCAAACCCTGATAGCAACATAGCAACAGGGGACCTACATAAGTTACTTGTTTGTTTTTTATTATTCGCTTCTCGGCATCATCCTTTTTCCCTACTATAGGTTTCTACCAAATTGGTAACTATTATGAAATGAATAACTAGTAGTTATACATAGGTAACTATATGCATAACAGCTGTCATTGGCGTTTTTAGTTTACCATGGCTTACTATTAAACGTAGTAAAAGTGTTACAGTAGGTAATTAGTGTTAGGTATTCACGACGAAATAGTAAAATAGTAACCTACCTAGTAGTAAAGAGGTACGTAACAACAAGCTGAACATACCACACACCCAGTTATAGTACACATACATGACACACATATACACATATACATATATACACACATACACACATACACATAACACATACTCACTCACACATATACACATGCACGACTTTTTTGACTCTTTTTAAACCCCGGCTTATTGATAAGATGAACGCGTACGTTAAGTAACACTCCTAATTGGTCCTAGTTTGGTCCTATTCTGCGCCTCTATCATGCATCAGCCCTCTCAGCTGTATCGAAGCGTCGGTGTTTAGCTGCTGTTCGGGAAATCTTAAAGTGTAACCAGGACTTTTTGTTCGCGTCCACAGAAGAATCTCGCTTCCCTCGTCTACCTCTCCACCTTTCACCTCCACCTCCACGAATCTCCACGAAATAAACTCGAGTCAAATTCGCTAAACATCAATATCCATTTAACGGACCGTTACAGAGCTACGTAATATTGAGTGTCCTAGAGGTTTAGTTTAGGTAGGTACCTAGTTATTTATTTTTTCTACTTCTCTCGCCGTTGATGTTTAACGGGATTTGAAGCATGTGCAAACAATCATGTAAATAATATATTCTTCCTGTTTACCATATAGGTACCTATATATCGCCACGGTTCTCTTCCTACGTCAACCTACATGCTGCATAGATTAAACAACCCGACATCTACATATACATACCTAGGTATATATGTCAATGTGCCTCTATATATGCACGCAACAGTACAAATTGCCAATTATACCCACGTTTACATATAGTTTGCGCGATATCGTGCTTAACCGCGTGCGTGCAACTATTTTTACTTGGATACATACATCCCAATCTCACCCATCCAGGTAGATCCTCGCGACATCGAACGCATGTCGGTCTGGCGCGTTCGAAGGATCTCATAAACATATAAGATAAGATATGAGTAGAGATGAGACTATGTTTTACAATCAGCTCCTGATCACCGTCATAGTACCCAACATCAATCTAGTCCCCAGCAAATCAGAACCAGCCAGTTTTTCAATGACCTTTCATATGAGAAACAATAATCAGACAGACATTGGTTAGAGACTTAATACACTGGGGCACATTTTCTGAAGGAATTTTCCTAATCAGGAAAGCTACTTATTAGTCCTTTTTCCTAGTCCTGATTCGCCGTCTACATAGTAGTAGTCCTTTCACTTAATAGCATAACCAAACTGTCGGGCCGCCCTAACCATACGTGTTCCGTGTTCTGTGTATTCCGCGTCCCTGGTATCCCATCAGCGATTACGACTCACTTTGCCTTAAATCTATTCTTAGGTATTCGCGTGGTATAATCCGGGTTGTTGTCATCGTTGGTACTATTCCCTTTCTTCTTAGCCTTCACTCCCCCCCCCTCATCCCGCGAATTCCTATCAGCTTAGATGTAAAAGTGCTTGGCTCTGTAAGTATGTAATTTTCACGTCTCACCAAAAGGCACGAGGTACAAGGCAGAAAGAAGTTGAGTAGACGAAAAAGATCTT